AGCTCGCCGGTGACTGATGGTCTTCACCTTCGGTGCAAAAATAGCTCTTGTGGACAGTCTCCGGGACATCTCCGTGGAGCTCAAAACTCTGACACCACCAAAGCCTAAAATAATCAGAGCGAAACGGACCTTAGCGGAACCAGGCGGAACGACCGTTTCTCGCGCTGGTCACCAGGCCGAGCGAGAGCAGTGTTTATTGATCGTGTTATATTTGACGGTGAGACAATAGGCCGTCGATGCTCACTCCATGCCAAGCGACGAACTAGCAGGCTTCCCAAAGTTCCTTAAACCCGTCACAGTCGAGGAGCTACCTATTCGAGAATCCCTTAATCTGTCCGCGTCCGGCACGAGCAGTCCAACGCGAATGAGATCGCCAGAATTCTATCTCAATGAATGAATCGGCTCTTCGCGACACACACGGCACTTCCCGATCACAGGGTTATGCTCCCGGGTGGATATCTCCTCCCAGCCTCGACAGAGATTTTCACGGCTGGAAGCCGCGCCGTGACCAGTCGGATAATCCCCCCCGAACCCCCGTCGTACAACCTCCCCATAGCTAACACGGAGAACGGACTCTTGGCATGTATCCAGGTGAAATCACACGCCCTAGCCCGCCATGGAAAAAATGAGGCGGAAATTGGAGCATGTAATTTCCGCGGTGTATTCCATAATCATCGCCTGTCTTTCGGTACAACCTGAGCCACCACTTACCTGAACACACCCTCGGAGTTGTCACCCCGACTCATCGATATCGCAGTGCCCCGCGTACCACTTCTCGGACTCCGATTGATGCCTCTCTCGATTCAGTCAGAGACGCTTTTAAATTCGGTACCCCCGTCGGAAGATTCGTCGTGGTCATATGATCGAGTTAAAAACATCGCCATTGTACTGGAATCGAGGAGGCTGATCCGATGGAGGTCGAAGAACCGTCGCGTCGGTCATTCATCCGGTCGGTAGTCGTAGCTCATGACTGTCGGTCTTCTTCAGCCCTGCCAAATTCGCACCATTTCACTGCCGAGAAAGCTCTGCGCTCCCGAAACCTTAGCTCTTAACGAAGAGCTTCCGACACGGTCACCATTCGGTGCCGCGTCTATGAATGGCTTCCCGGAGAGAAAAGTGAGCTGACTTCGAACTGGTGTCGTTGTCCGGCCGCGAGCCCTCATGAGCCAGGGCGATGCACGTGAGGAAATGTTCAGAATTCTCCGAGACTGCATTTAGGTTAAAAGCCGCTGTCTCTTAGAATTTCTCTCGAACCGCGTCCATTCTCACGCTGATTCAATGGAAGCCCACGCAGATCCGAAAATTCGAGGTGGAAACTTTCCAGACGGATATGATTTCCCGAATTTCCCTTCATGGGCAGTCTTCGTCTGCTGGCTCGATCGGATGCTCACGAGGTTCAGGCCCCACAGGAATCCCGGTCGCAGGCCGCGATCACTGCGGACAGGTGGTTGCCATGGATCTAGTCGGATTGGGTTTGCCCCCTTATTCTTTCCAGCAACATGAATTCAAAAATTCTTAGAATTAGACGGATCCCGCCGGGACCATGGTTTGAGATACGAAATCTGAGCTGATATCGACGGACGATTGGAGCTACGAATGCCAACGACAGGGATCGAATCGGTAGAGCTTGGTTGAAGACTGCGACAGCCGGATTTCCCTCTCGTCCGTTTGCTCTTCTTCTGTCGTGCCGTCGCTGAGGCCTTGGCTTCGAGCGGGATGAGGTCGACTAGAGCAGAGAAATCTGAGAGGCTCCTCTGACGATATTCCAGAAGAGATCATCGAAAAAGCGCGGCAGGTAGACGCCAAGATCAAGGTGACTGCGACGAAACCAACGACGCGGACTCCGTTCAGAGAACGGTTATTAAACGAGAATGGGGCAATCTATTCGGGATTTCTGATGATGGCGACAAGACCTCATGATTGACACGCGCACTTTCAGGACGATAGCAAGCCGCGTGGGTACCGAGGATGATGGTCCCTGGCCTGGGAGAATTTCCCCGAATACACATTTGCCCCGCGGAGGAGGACGCTCGAGGAGTGTAGATATCAATCTGCTCGTTTGAATGGTTTTCCCCTGACTGAGCCGATTTATCGGATCTGCCGCTGTACGGTACCGGAATAGCCTGTCCCGATACGATCCCTTTGGACGGAGCCCTGTGTACCCGTGGAAATTTTCTCCGCCACGCGTGATGAGGGACTCCTTCGGAAGATCTCTTCTCTTATTTACTTTCCAGCGACAGTGATGCGAATCGCATTTCTCCCCCCGAGATATCCGTTCTCCATCATGCTTCAAGCTCTCTTTTCGACAGCAACGGTCGAAACCCACCTGAAAATTCCCACACGACCTCATGCGCCCGAGCGAGCCCGTCAGGTGGGACGGCCAATTTGCGAATCCTCGCCACCTGGGGCAATGAGTGGGCTAATGGGAAGGACCTGAAGCATAGGAAGAGCTGTCTCGCCTTTTCTATGCCGAGGGTTTCCAAACATAACTGTATTAGATCGAGGACCTTCCGATGTCTCGGTGCCTCGAATTACGCCATCTAACTCATGCGAATATGAGGTGCATGAGCCATCGAAATTTTGAGGGTCGTTGTGGAGTTCTCCTCCAGAGAGACCGCAGGCTGGAGGCCCGACCCACGAAGCGGCTCCGAAGGAAGAGGTCGACAAAAAAATCGCTGCCCAAGGTGTCCGAAAGGGGATCTCGTGTCCTGCCGGCGATTGAGAGCTCCAATGAACCAGTGGGACCCCTTCCGGAAGGTCGGACGGAAACGTGTCGAATGCTACGTGATTCGCGGTCGGAAATGATAAACATGGCAGTATCGGTTCCGCTCGCCTATGGACACCGTATCTACATAGGTGACCACCAACGTCGCGGTCATTGGCTTCTCCATGACTGGTCGCAATTTGATCCGCTCGATGTCGTCAGTGGATATAAATTCTTGTCTGGAATAGCATGTGCTCTCCCAGGATTAAAGAGGGAGGAATGTTTGAGCGAGAATGCCTACAGCATTGCAGGAGATATGTGTAGTGTCCATCTCAAGCCGGAGCCGCCCGAGAGAGATTCATCTCCCATTCACGTATTTGAAATTTCTCGATGGACAGACGACTTCTCATGGATGACGGTAAACGGTTTAGGAGAGAAACCCTGCGGCATCTAATCGAACGAGTTCTTGGGACGGCACTGACGATATCGCATGAACTAGCAGTACAAGCATATCGGCTCCGATGGTCACAACGATTTTATTGTTAAATCAAAGAATAATAATATATCTTTTGCTCCACTTTCGGGTAATGTATGTTGACATTCCGTTCACTCTGTCCATCTGAGTCTGTACGATTCTGCTCCAGGATGAGCGGTTAGCCGAATAGAGTTATCGGAATCGCATGCTTTTCCTACGAGGCATCCAAGCGAAGGTAAATCTTGCGGCTTCTGACTCACAAAACGACGTGGACGAAGGTCGTAGAATTTTTAATTCACAGAACAGACTCACGCTTGGACAGATATCGTTGAAGTGAGCTTTTTCATCAGTCCAACGCTGATCAAAACGGGACGTCGGCGGATCGTCGATTTCGGGGAACCGGAAGAATCCGGCTAATAGCCGATGAAATACATGCTCTGTAGTATCTACGCAAGACTCTTGATTGTGCTAATTCTACCTCAGCTGTCGATGAAACGAAGAATGAAATCACGAGCTCCTCTAGAGCCGTAGGCGGAGCCCTGCATTGGACATCGATCAGTTATATAATATGGTACATAGCAACTGCAACTCGCTGAGCAAAAACGGCGCTCGCTCTAACAGACCCTAATCGTGATTGATTAGGAATTCGAACTGAAGGGCGCCACTCGGTGTATTTACGCTTAGGCCTACCTAGAGCCGAAAGCTCCCTTGTCTGGAGGCTCCTTCCCGTTGCATGAATGTTGTCAAACAGCAGAAAGCCGCCCCCGAATATACATACACAGTCGAGTCGAGTCCATTATGTACACCAAGACAGGAACTCACAGCTTAAAACGAAGCCCGCATTTTTTTCAGTGGGGTAAATGTTTTCCACGAATCTATGTACATTGTACATGCGTCAACAGGGGTGGTATGTTCCTTGTTCCGACCGGCTGTCAAGACGAACTTCCGTTTCACAATCGATGTGAAGTATTCCATGCCTTGTTTGCTTCGAGCTTCCACGGTCCTCCAGGGGAGGTTCCGATGACAATAATTCGAAACTTTTTTTGCAGCGAATCGCGAGAAGAAGTGCTTCACATTCCCTCCGTGCAACCCGTTGCCGAGGATTATTATGGCAGCTTCAGCTCGCTCAGTTTTTTCGTTAATTTTTTTCTGTTTTTTTTTTCTCGGTTTCCCAGAATTCAAAGAACTCAATTTTCAGTTCTCTCTCGGTACTCAATCTGCCGACGATTCGGAGCTATCGTATCCGATGAGGAGCACCCAACTGACTGGGGCTTGCAACGAGACCATGCTGGACTTTGAACGAATCGAGGGAAGTTCGCAGAAAAAGGCCGGTGAGAGCAGACGAGTACCAAATAACAATTGTGAAATGTGTCACCAACAGTTTTACCAACTGAGTGATCGGTTCTCAAAGCGGTCAAGGAGAGCAATCGCTCGCTAGACAGGGGAAGCAAAAACCCGAGTGTGTTTCTCGATATGAGCGCCACCTCCAACGAAACCGGCATCGCGAGCTCTCCGAAAAGTCACAATATCGTCGGAAACCCCATGAGACAGGTCGAGTCACATGCGGAAGGTAATAGGCTGGCTCCTCCGTCGGTCAGCCAAGCTCTGATTGCAGTTGATCGACCCGTATTTCTGGAGGTAGTTATCTGAGTAGTGACACATTGAGCGTAATGAGCAACTCAAGAACGAGCTTAATGCCACGCGGCGGACTAAAACTTTGAATATCGTCGATGAACTCGGAGCACAATGCCGTCCGATCCAATTCTTCCGCCGAACAACGAAATAAATACAACGAAATATAGCATGCAAGTAAATGTTGTGGATAACGCTACCGACTCTGTGCGCGACGTGTCGGTCAAGTCCTAACAGCTCTACACCTCAAGAAGCCAACCATCTACAAATATTCCGACACGATCGTCACTCCGCTGCCCTTCATCCGTGCACTTCTATTCCATATCGCTCTGGACAGCGTATTCACGCTTTCGAGGCAAAGTTAGGCAGCGTCATGATCATCATTCCTCTCCTTCCTGTGTTTTCTCATCGATTTCCGCGCATCGAACATCAGGCATCGATGCCTCCTCTTGGAACGCCCGCATTCACGTTCGAGAGAATCTTATTCACATACTCAGCGGTGAGGCCAGCAACTCGGACCGTGTCTGTGGGATAGAGGCAGCGGTTAGAGAGGACAAACGGTATTGACCGGCACGGGATCCTTTCACAATCGCACGAGGGCTCCTGGGGACTTGAGAATCAATCGGAGCTGTGTATTCAAATGTACCCACCGATTTCAGACACGAGTTGATCCAAGCGGCGCTTGTGCTCATCCGAGTTTAAGGATCCCTGAGCTTTCTCAATGCAGAGCTGGCGCATTTTCGCCGTCGCGTCGAGCAGTCGTTCTGAAAATAAGCGGGGGATTCAGTATCAATGAGAGGACAGCCCACGCTACAGGGAGAGACGCTAGACCCCCGGTGCTCCCTAGCAAACTGAACCTTTCCCAGACGATTCCAAGGTCTGTGTACCATTCTATTCACTGACGTAGTATCGAGCTTGAGCGACGCTAACTCGCTAGGGGTGAGCTGGTTCGCTCTCGCACTTCCACATCCAGCCCATCGATCTTTCCCGCCGTGCTCGTTGTCGAACGTGGGCTCGTGTCAGCTCATTAATATGAATTCATTCCTGATAATTTTCTCGCCATCAATATGTTCTGGGGTTCGATCCTCACGCGAAAGGAATACCAGCTACGATCATGGGAATCCGAGTAGAGGGGTGGGCGGAGCGTAATGGAGATCATGGATGTTGATTTTTGAACTCCATCTGAGCGACAAGTTTGGTCACATCCGTGATCCGGAATAGAAAGAGGTCCGACCGACACGACGGCCAAATGTGCGCGTTGGAATTTCGCTTGTAGGCTCCAAGCACGCGCGGTACTCGCGGCAGCGATACTGCCTCAACCGCAACCTCCTGGGAGGACGTCAGTCGACGGCTGGCGACTTTGCCGCATGGCTACCCTCGATATGGAGAAGCGGCTTCTTCTGACCTCTAGCTCCCGGATTCTATCCTTCAAAATGCATTGTACAAGCTGAATCGGAGCGACATCGAAAGCCGTCTCCGAGCGATCGACAAGCAGGATGAAACACCGGAATCGAAGAGGCGTCGCTGTGCGCAAGAGGTTCAGCGCTTTCTCGCTCACAAGAAGGAGGAATCAGCCTCCCTCGTTGAGGACAACAGCACATCCTATACGTAGTTCGCCGGAAGCGTGAAAAGAGACGTCCGAGCGTTAGGTCGATGTGTTACGAGTTCAATTTCTCGTTGGAGAGTTATTCCGGCGCGAATTTCCCGGGGAAATTCTTTCCATTATTCGCCATTCTTCCATACCGCTACATACGATAGTGGAGTTTTGATAACATTGCTTCCCAGAAAAGCTCTGCGGGTCGGCATGAGCCAGGGAAGCGCGTGCCGCATAAGCAGTAGAGCGGCGGATAGAACAAAATAGGCCACACCCCACAGCCTACTAGTGGTTGGCCGGCTGGCCGGCCGGCCACGAGCTCGGTTCCACTAACGGGACCGAGTCGAAACTGTAGGGCACATCTATACACCAGCCGACGGGGCGAAAGGAGCGGGCAGCTGCGGCAGACCAGCTGACGGACACCGCTCCTCGATCTCTCGCATTTTCTCTTCGATGGCAACGACCAATCCCGTCGCGGCGTTAGCCGATCCCTGAAGTTTGACTAAGGGCTCGCAAGCGGATGGACCAAACGATGGAAGGATCTGGCGTCCGGGCAACGAAAGAGTATTTCCCGCATCCTTATGTGCGCCTTCCGCCGTCTTTTGTTTTCTCCGCCACCGGAGTTCCTCCTACCGGTTTCAAAACAATGATCAATAATAATAATGAAATTAAAAGAAATGGATGTCGCACGGGAATCTCCGTGGTAGAAAAACAGGAAGAAACTTGTTTACCAATTCAGAGAGCATAGCCGTTCGCTGTATTTCGCGTCACCCGTAGGTCAGAACCAACAGCCTTCGAAGATGTTCGCTAGCTCTGTGGCCAGAGAACGAGCGAGAATACGATGAGCGAGGAGACACTAACTCATAGGTCCCTCTCCATCGTAACAGCGCCAGCAGCAACAAAAAAACTGCACAGCAACAACCCTTCCCTCTCTCCTCACCCTGGGGACAGAAAAAGGCTTGGGAAACGATCGGTACTCCAGCCAACAAGCGCACCAGCCTGCCTGTCAGCTGGCTCGGAGCGAGCACGACCTAGACTCGATATACGAAGGTAGACAAACGGAACACCGAAAGCGCAATGAACAATCGAGGGCAAAACAATTATTGTTCATTAGATTTTAAGGGTGTCTGTGTGCTCCGGAGATCGCCTGCGCGGGATGAAAATCCGTCGTCCCTCGTCATTTCCGATAAGCATCAAAAAAGTAGATGAGTTCGCCCCACCTTTCCCGGAGCAAGGAAATGCTCGATAGAGCGACATCGCTACATCGGGATTCGAGCGGATGACGAAGGAGCTTCGCTAACGGAATAAAAAATCGTCAATCCACGGCTCTCCTCCTTCCCCCGATCCTGTCCCAGCAGTGTGTTTTCAAGCGTGGTCAGAATTTCTAGTCTCGATCCCATATCAGTACTGACTGACTTCGGAAAACATCGAGGACGTATCTGGAGTCTCGGAGATCCGACGCCCGCTTGGGGAAGGGGAAGCTGCCTCGAATTCGAAGAATCAATCAACAAGTCGCGACTTTCTTTCGTCCCGAAGACCTCTATCGGTAGAGGTATCTGCCAACACGAGTTCCGCCGATTCGTCGGTCGCCTGAAAATCGAGCTCGAGGCTCCACCGGCATGAGACGGAGGTTGATAAGAGCCTGCTTCCGTCATTGTTTCGCTGGCTCGTAGAGCGGCGCTCAGAAGACGGATCATAAGATCTTCCGACCGAGCAGGAATACGCTCTCGCGCAGAGAATGAACGACGGTGGCGGTCGCAAGCGATGAGTATTACGCCTGCAACGTACGGCAAGACACGATCTCTTTCACGAGTTTGCAACCACAAAACGAGATCGATGGCCCGCCCGCTCGAAAGAACGAAGGAAGATTCGATCGATCGATTGATCGCCCGCTCCGAGCTCAACAGCAGGCAGGATCCATTCTTCCCCGTCGGTCCGTGTTTTAGCCGAGCGGCAGCCCCAAACTTTTCAAGTCAGGTGGCAAGAAAAAAGCTCCAAGTTGTTCTTCATCTTGTTGTGCCCATCAGCTCTAGCTGATCAGCCGCGATAGGTTGCCCGAGTTTGTTGCACGCCCTGTTTCCTCTCCTCTCTCCAATTTATACCCGGTTCCGCAGTTAGCAGTAATTCACTTTCGTCGGAGTCAGGGGTTGGAGGCTTTCGGACAGGATAGGAGCGAAGAGTGAAAACAGAGGACGTCGGATCCACGACTACGGTGATCCATCTACTAGGAAACGCGAATGAGTTCCGTCCTCTCCACGGTTCTCATCACTCCGTTCGTTCGTTCGACCGCCGCTCGATCTCACCATCCTCCGTACATACATACATAGTACCTCGATGTTCTACACGCGCACGCAGGCCATGCGAGCATCGAGAATAGAGACTCTGGCCGGAAGGGGGTCCATGACTTCCCCGGTCGCACCTTCCATCTCGTCACAGGTGGTCTCTCGCCTGTTGTGATGAGAGCTCAACAACTTCCGCTGCATGCACGTTGGTCACGAGCATTATCCTAATTGTTCGCTTCGTACTCGATGTCAGAGAGATGGGCGAACGATCGGATGTTCTTCGACCACGTCCACGAAGTATTCAATTTATTTATCTTTTTTTTTCGAGTGGGATCATAGGAAACTCGGGATTCTCAATAATATAACATGCTCCTGCCCGGTGATTTCCTGTGCTCGGGAAACTCGCTACCTCGGCATTACGATTGACGATGGACTTTCCTGGAAACCCCACATTGCCAACCTCGTGAAGAAGCTCAGACCAATTGTGGCCTCACTGGCAAAACTCGGAAGATCGTCCTCCAGAGGTGTGTTCAGGGAAGTCTATCATGCGCTCTTTGAGTCTCATCTCCGGTATGGAATCCTCGCTTACGGATCTGCATTTCGCTCTTTACTCAGGCCCATCGAGGCAGTCCAAAATTCTTGCGTTCGTATATTGTCGAAACGAAGTAGGCGGCACCCCACCGAAGCGATTTACGAGCAACTGAGAATCATGCCCCTTCGCAAGCTATACCTCGCCGTTCTACTGACCGAACTACAAACGAGGCGAACTGATGTCGCTCTCAGACTTGAAGAGGAGAACCGCCTAAACCATCCTCATGCAACCCGTGGCATGCAATCCGGACAGATCCGCCTCCCTGCTATCCGCCTTGAACGAACTAGAAGGATGTACAAATTTCAATACATGGCCGTGTACAACTCGCTCCCTGACTCTCTGAAGACCTGGTCAGAGCGCCGGATCTCAGAGAGGAAAAGAAATATCAAATCATTCTTGAATACCCTAAATAATATCGATGTAGATCTGCTGCTCCCTTAGCTTCATCTCTCTCCAAGGTGTTGGTCACTCTCCCTCTCGGCCTCTGGCAAACTTTTATGTCTCCACCCGAACCACGGACAGGGCTCTGCCCTCGTGGAAACTACAATTTTTTGTTCTTGTTTTGTACAGTTTGAATAAACTAGGGTTGTATTAGAAAAAAAAAAAAAAAAAATATTATTCAATAATGATAATATAATATTCTCCATACTAAATGAGTCCTTGGATACCGAGAGCAACCCGGACTGAGACGTTTCCCAGAGTGATCGGCTGCGGAAAATCCGAGTTTGAGAACGCGATCATTCCCCCGTCGCTGAGTCTCTCCGAAGCCACCCCCCCCCTTTTCTCCCAGCACGTTTCGAAAGAGAAGGGAGACGGATGAAAATCTCTATTATTGCAATCAGCCGGCGAATCGGAACGAACAAGCTCAACGAACGGGTGACGGAAGCGGCTGGCGGAGAAGAAACTGTCGAAGAAGAGAGATAATGCTCTTCGGTGTGAATGCAGTCAGTACCTCGCCGGCACCGTCGCTGCATCTTAGTGCGAAACTCCGCAATCCGCGCCGAGCTCCTCGCCCTCCCCGGCCCTCCTTAGAGCCGGCTCCCTGTAATATCTCGCTAGACTCAATGAGAAGATGCAAAGAAAAACCTTTCGTCCCTACCGACAATAGAATTGCCAGCGGATAGTCTGTTCTCTTTCGCGCGCCGCCTTCTCGTTCGATTTCCTTCTCGAGGCTCTGAGCTGTTTCTAGAGACAGCAAACAGACCTGAATCAAAAAAATTGTATTCTCGCTACCGAAGACATATCCTCTGGTGGAGGGAATTTCGCAAGCGCAATACACGAAGAAATAGAATCGGCGGCGAAGCTCCTGCGAACAACCGGAACCAATCAGGGGTCGGATCGGAAAACGTCGCGGCTTTTCCGGACAAGGGAGTCACCTCGATCGGACGAACGATGGACGGGAGTCGTCTCTCTCTTGAACTACAACGAAGACTTTGGCCGGTGCTCAGTCGGCATACATATTTGTGTTGCCGAGAGCAAATTAGAAATGCGGAATCGTCTCGGAGTGAAACTCCCTCGTCTCGAGAAGACGCGTCCGTCGGCAGGATGCCGTGCGGAGACTTTCCCAGGACTCGCAAAGTACACGCCTCAAGGCGCGGAGAGGATCGTTTTTGGAGCCCGTCTTGCCAACTGCTCACGTTCGCCGACACAAGTTCGGAGCGTGGGTGCTCAGTTCCGGCATTTTGCACCGCTCGAGTTTGTTGAAGCCGTTATTCAATTAAGTATCGCCTCGTCCTACGAGTGCGCTCCTGCGGGACGCTGTCTCTTTGAAAAGGCGCATATTTCGACAATGTAGGCAAATCTCAATATTCCTACGTCAGCATCGAGTGGATACGCTGATCCCGCCGACGCGAGCCCCTAACCGACGAGTCTAGCCGATGAGTGTCCGGAGTATCCACTCCATAGCAGAAGGCGCAAGGAGGAGGAGGCGCTGAGCGTTTAAGGAGCCAAGGGCCCAGTAGAGATCCAGGCTGGTATTTCCTCTAAGAAGTTGCCGTCGCTACGGATCTCCGAAGACAAGAACTGTCAAGTGAACAAACAAGAGCACCCACTCGAAGGATTCCTCGGGCGGCTGCGATATTTTCCCAATACATTGAGAGAGAAGGAGAGAGGGAGAGCGAGCGAGCAGAAAGATGCAACGCGACACTTGGTAGAACAATGAACGATCGTATGAGCTGCGGCTCGGATGAACAGCCCGGCCAGCATGCCATGCCCTCTCTAGCAGGAACAGAAGTGCAATAAGTGAACGGATCGCGGACAACACATAGAAGAAATTAGTTGATTGAGTTAGCCGCACTTCATCGGAAGGACGGAATAGATTCCATGCGTGGGCCAAGAAGAGGACAGGCAGCCTGTGGCAAAAAGCAGGTTTCGAGAAACAACGGCTTCATACCTTCTCTCTTTCCCATACATTGGTTCCGAAGTCGGATTACAAACTCGATTCGAGTAGACTAGACCTCGATCCAGCTCGGGAGGCGCGTTTGCGGGAAAACCGCAACACCACCATGGAAGAGACAGAATACGATTTCGACAGTCTCGGGGGGAAGCTCCGGCAGCGATTTCAGCTTTCGTTGTGTCTCCCTTCGAGAAGATGATCCCGGCTGTTCATTAGGAAAGATACCTCCTCCATACTCTACAGCGCCCTCCCGCTTGATCTCTTCCTCTATCGATTCTGTCTTATGCTTGGAAGCGAATGGATAAAAAGACCTTTTCTCTCGTTCGCGATCCCTTCCATCAGCAAACGTCATCAATCATCAGGACTCGACTTGTCTTCATTGTCTAGTTTCCACGCTTTAAAAGAAGATGGGGACGAAACCTGGAGATTGGTTTCTTTGAGCCCAGCGAACGAGCAAGTCGGCGATACACGATTTCGTCGCGGTCCCTAAATAAATGAATTCCTTCTCTGCTCTATGGACCCGATGATGGTGATCGTGGCTTTGCGGCCCGCTGCCAAGTGATATCCGACGGGATGTTGGATATCCGAGGGTGTTCTCGCTCGAGACGTTCGAGGAAGCGCCGCATAGCGAGAGACAATGATCTACGGTGGTTTACGTGGGAGCATCGAAGCTCCATTTTTCTGCGGACACTTTCCGGAGTCTGAACGAGCATCGGTTTTGGGGACAACACAGCTACGCGGGTTGTGTGTACGCTCTCATTGAGACGCAGGAGATCACTGAGGATGGTCCGGGACTCGCTGACGTAATCTGCTCGGAATCCTCTCTCATTCAATGATACGTATTCCCGATGATAAGCGACTTCGGCGTCGCAATGAATGACGACGCATCAATTTGTTCGCTCGTTCGCCTGCCTGTTCGCCAAGCCGATGGATGGACAGGCAGACGGACAGAACGACCGACCGACCGGCTGCTTGCTTCGTTGCCCATCGAGTGACCGAGAGAGAGGGTCAAATGCAGGCATCCTATTCACAAAAAAGGATGCGATGGAATTATACGAAACTTGCCAGCATTGAAAAGGCTGGCTGGCTGGCTAGCTGGTTTGTTCGGGAGGCGAGGGAGGTAGGAAGAACCAACCGAAGCGAGGGTCTAAGAAGGCAGGAAGAGCGGCATCGGCAGCAGCTACCGCCGCCGCCGCCGCGTCGGAGGGGGAGGGGATGAGGTTAGACGAAAGAGAGGATGCAGGCAATGGCAACCGTGACTCAGTTAGTCAGTCGGTCGGTCGGTCTCTCTGTCCGCCTGTCTGTCCATCCGCATGACTGAAACTTAACTAGGAGGGTCCGGAGGAGTGGTAATCTTGGTTAGGCGGTGGCTAGGCGGGCGAGTTGCATTGTGACCGCCTACGGTGCGAACTCATTATGGTATTTAGAAAACTCTTTACGAATGGACGTGGGCTCTGAGGTACTCGAAATTCGGACATGCTTCGCTGTCGGAGCATTCCAACCGATCGATTTTTTCGCTCAGCTAACGCGCCGGTATTCGTCACCGAATCCGGAAACGGTTCCTATAAGCGAAGTGCTTTCGTCGTCGAATACGAAGAATCCTTTGTTTTTGAGCAAGTCCCTCATATGTTGCCTCGACGCGTGAGTAGGGTGAGAACACAGCAGTACAGCAGTCATGTCTATGCGATTGACCGAATGCGGCCTCGCAGATGGTGAACGGCACTCTTAAAACAAAGAGTCCATAGGATTCTTTCGAAGCCGAATGAAAAAAAATATTTTGTTGATCAAAAAAGCTCGAGATGAGAATCTCCTCAAGCACAGTAGCATGTATGCACGCACGCACTCAGAAGAACAGACCGACCGAGATGTATGCATGCATTCACATTAGTTCGTGCGCATCGCTCGTTCCCAGTGGATTTCGTGTGAGTTGTGCGGGCTCAGCGAGCAATTAGACACTGAATGAAAAGAAAAAAAACAACAAATATTCGTCTAAATGGTTAAAAACTCCCCATTAGAGCTCGAGTGCTCCAAAAACACCCCGAGACGAAGAGGAATCGCTTTTTTTCGCTCAGACCAAGTCAACTGCGAGAGCAGCATTCCACAACTTCGATGAGCGAGTTTCAGAGCGAAAATCACACGGCGCTCTCGAATTAGGGTGGAACTTCCGAATGGGATAAATTCCAATTCCCGGATGAGGGGGAGGATTCTGTGTCGAGAATTCCCGTTTTACTCTTGATTTCAGTGATTCGAAATGGTCGTTGAGGATCACGAAATCGGCAAGCTGAAAAACGCTCCCACTCTCTCGACAGAGAAGCCTTGTAGCGTTACTCTAGACGATAATAATGCGGACCGGCCAAGTTCGAGCTTGGTCATTGCAGCAAGAAACTCCCCCATTCAAATGAGTCATCCTGTCCACCCTCGGTCGACTCGACCGGAGGGAGGCATTTCACCCCTTTTTTGCTCTCTCTCTCTTTTTCTTCACATACCCTTTTTGATATTCGTTGCCGGCAGCTCTCACTTGCTTGCTTGCTTGGTAGCTTACTCGCCAGGGAAGCAGGCGGCAGACCAGCAAAAGCAGCGGGCTGGCTGGCAGGCAGGCCATTGGCGTTTTTGGAAAGCATTGCGAGTCTGCCTCTACTACCCGCAGGAGCCCTTCGGCATAGTAATACCCTCTCAAATCCTTCCCTTCTTTCTCTCATCGTCTTTGCCATTTTTAAACATGCAAGCGAACTCTCCATACCCCTTGAACTGGGAATCCCGTCCCTAGCCCGTGGCTACTCCAGCTACCTGGTGACTGCGGCTGCTCGAACATAACGAAGAAATGCTCGCAGTCTTCAATTTTCAATTCAACTCAGGAGCGGCTCCGTCTGATCGTTCAGAATGTTTTCGAGACACAGTTCCCCGTTTCCCCATCATTCGAGCGCTGCGAGGAAGAATTTCGCGGAAAGCATCCGCGAATTTACTCACTGTGTTCAACTTGCAGTCCAAACAGCTTCAACTTGTTCGCTTCGTGTTGAGCTTTCTTCTTCAAGCGGCAGGCTCTGAAAATCGAATATGCCGTCGGACAAATTGTTTATAATCGGTCTCGATCGAAAACAAATGCACACGAGAGGTATTCTGTGCGCTCGCGATCGCTCAGTTTGCGATGGATATGCCGGCTCCTGGGCTAAACGTGTCATCGCTGGACATAAAAACTGCCGCGGCTCCTTCTTATATGCTATAAGAACTGTCCAAGTCAGCAGACTGAAGACGACCAGCGGGTCGGACAGACAGCCGAGCCCGTAAGAACGACGACGACGTCCGAGGACGCCGCTACCGCCGCTCAACGTGAAGGTCGCAGATGTTTCAATTTCCGAGCAAAAAATCAAAGTTGACCTGGTAAGAAACTCATAAAATCCTCTAACCTCGAAGCGAGCTTATTTTTCTCTTTACGAGACTTGTTGCGAGCGTTCGACGGAAGATCGGTGGGAGGGGTGAGTTCGTTGATGATTCGGTTCAACTTGTCGAGTTCGATTCCGATGTTATACAGCTTATTCGGATTCGGGGTCAGATCGTTCCCGTCGCCCCGGCGGGCTTTACCGGCGTGCTTCACACCTAAACAACGATTCCGATGCTTAGAGAACATCTCTTCATTCTCGTATCGCCACGTCGGCGACGCTCGTAGATCTTTCGATTCGGGAGCTTACCTTCGAGTTGGCAGTCGGGGCTGAAAACTGGGTCCGTCACATCGGAGAGGACGTGCGGATCTTCCGCAACTTTCGTGACTTTCATCCGTGGACCCTTCGGACCTTTCGCTTGTACGTTGTATTGCCAGAAGTATTTGCCTTTCTTCTTGCCGCTCCCCGGCTCGTCCGATGCCAACGACGATGGTGACAAGGGGGACCGAGCGCCCCCTTCGTATTCGTTGTCGCTCCCAGATTCTGTATCGACGCAATCGATGAGAACGCTTGTCTATGTCGCAAGCGACGGCGCCGGAAAAATCGTCCAGAGCGATCGTGTGACACAATCGGTCTCGGTGAAATGCAAAGAAGCCTACCTTCGCCCGATGAGCGGTCCTCGTTGTCGCTGTCGTCTTCCTCGTCCGCTTCCTGAGAGCTGAATCCCTCGTCCATGGTGAGTTGGACAGAACTCAATTGACTGAGGGTTGTATCTGTCGAGCCGTGGCGAAGACGACCATTCCGAAGCACCTCAGCCTTTCTCGCCTTCCACATTTGGTCCATGCCGTTCGCCGACGGCGCAGAAGTGGACAACCGATCGGCTGGGATAGGTCCTTTCGGCTTCCCGCTCGCTAGAGGGTTCTTCCTGGCCGGCGAATGCAGTGGACTCGCCGAATGCAGGAAGCTCCTCGACGTAGCTTTTCCCCCACCTGGTCAAATGCGGCTCGTAAGTCTTCGCTCCGAAAAGCAGAGCGGACCGGCTGCCTCTCTCGGGGCAGCTGCATATGTGTCGCCAACTGACCTTGGTGTTGTTTCCCTGGGAGACCGCTACTCGTCGACGGAAGACTAGAGCTGAGCGTGGAGTAAACATCGGGCGGCAGCGGGTTCAGGAAAGTAGGGCCGACCGACGCAACCTGACAACTCGACGGTGGACTCAAGGTCTGCAAACCTGAACTCTGTGACGACGACTGAGCTTGCAATGGATCCACGAAAGACGAACCTGACCACGAGCTGGCAGTAGCACCGGCAGTCGCTACAGCGGCTGCAGGTGCACCTTCGCGGAAAAGTGTCCCCCGTTAATGATTTCGAATCGGTTCCTGAAGGCCGAGCCTGAATCCACAATATCCAGAAGGGAGAGAACTGTGAAGGTCACTTACCCACAGTTGTGTTAGGTTCGACTTTGATGTCTGCAAGCGGAGAAAGTAAATTGACCTGCTGCGAGAACGAAGTTTTGTTGTCGAAGCTCTCCATGAGGAAGCTGTTGACGTCGATGGTATCCAAGAGGTTGCTGCTATCTTCATTGGCGTTGAGTTCGGCGAGCGTTGGCTCTCCGGGAAATTCCGATTTGATATCGTTTTTGAACACGGAGTGTAATTCGAAGTCCATCGGCTGCTGGCTCCATAATTTGTCTTCAGTGAGCTTGTCGGTAATGCGGTCATCGTCGGGTTCCAGTTCCCACATCAAACCTTGGCTGTCCGAAGGGTCGGACGATCTCTTAGAGTCCTCCAGCGTGGGGAGATACTCCAAGATATCACCAGAAAGCTCTGCGGTGTTAAGGTCCGACACCAGCGACGGATAGAGCGAATCTTCCGTGATTAGACTGCCGAAGAACGATTGCACAGTTATGCTTCTGAATCGAACGAAGGGAATAACGATCTCTCTCTCTCACCAATCCCAACACCTCCCGACGTTCTCACCGGTTTTCGAAATTCAACGTGCTGTTGTCGGGTGGGGAAACCCAACTGCTGTGCGGGACCGGGTTGTTCGAGCTTCCTGCGGAAGACTGATCCACACTCGTTCCGGGCAAAGGACAACTATCTGGGGTCCCGTAGCCCGAGTTGGCGATCTGGATATTCTGTAATTGGGCGTTGATCACCTCAGTGTGGATACGGCGCGAGCGAAACAGAAAACTCGTGCATGAGGGAAATATGGAAAGTCGGTCGACGCACGATCAAAAATGCAGAAACGAGTCATACCTGCGAACGTTGAGGCGGCATGGCTATCGAGGTGGGACTCGCAGGGGTCTGTTGACCGCTGCTCGAGGTGTTCGAAGAGGTTTGGCCCGGATGCACCATGGGCCCAGAATAAAAGACCCCTCCTCCTAGAAGCTGCTGACTATGCGGGCTGTGAACCAAGTGACCACCTGTAATGTGTTGGTGGTGCTGTTGCTGCTGCTGCTGCTGTTGTTGCTGCTGCTGCGGCGAGAAGCTCACGGGCTGACTATGATTCCACTGGCTTTTTGAAGCCACGTACGTCGGCGGATGCCCTACGACTCCTTGGGAGGTGAGCGGCGAGTTCGACGAGCTCACTTTCTGACCTCCCGACAGCAATCTGCAAGTTAAAAGACGAGCTTCTTATTTCGTGCTCGATACCGGGTCGTTTGCGAACTCCGACGGGTGGATAGTGGAGGCGTCGACGTCGTGCCAGGTGAACACGTTTTACCTGGACGGATTCCCTCTGGAGTATCTTAGCGCGTAAGATGCGCGGACTATCCAGTCAATCGATGGGACTTATAGCGTTATAGCTTATGGCGGCAGGGAGTCGCTGATTTAGCGTCGAGTGGAAAAAAAACGGCATCGGAATGTCTCAAGAAGCGCTGTCGCGAGAGGAGGGAAGGTCGGAGCAGAGGTTGCCGAATTAAGGGCTGGCGAGCGTCTCAGGTCGTATTTCTTCTTTATCCTAAACTCATGGAGGACATGAAGTGAGAGGAGTTTTTTTTGGTCATCGAAGCTCCTCGGCGCCGCTCTTTTATTTTTATCGTCGGCCGTCCACGGCAGCAGGAGCTACGGCGATCCAATATGACCGCGCCGTAGGATAACAACGAACGACCACTATGGCCTCTGACTAGCCATCTTCTCCCGTCCGCCGCTCTCGCTTGAATATATACATACATACATGTATATATATTACCGCGCTCCCTTTCGCAGCCCGTATTACGGTCCAATGAGGGCCAAAAAACTCTTTCTCTCGTAAAATACGAACAACATAAAATGGACACGGACCGAAATACCCCGGAGACTCCCCGATCTCAGCTACGCGCGCACATTTCAGCGAAGAGACTCGCATTGCGAATGTCGGAGTCAAGACTTTGGATCTCTCCTCATAATTTCTCATCGGTTCCTCCATCTCGATATTAGAGTGAACGGCACCTGCGTGTATTCGGGAATATCGAACGTAAGAGCTCGGTGCCGCCACCCCTAATCCTCCGTAGCTCGACGGGAATTCGTAGGCTGTGAGTACAGTGAATTTTCTCGCGTGCTCCCGAAGGCTTACGACTGGTTAGCTAAAGTGGGTGTTCTTTGCTCGTTCCAAGCAGCTCGGCGCAGCGAGCGGCGCCAGTTCTTGACGTTTTCTCTTCTGCGTGCGCGTACCCTCGTGGTCTCCCCGAGTCCCCTATTGTTTTTTGCTTGCTGGGGTCTCCTCTTGTTCATGATGATGATGCAGCTGCTGCTGCTGCCGCCGCCGCCGCGCCGCTGCTCTTGGCACTACTGCCACCGCCTCAGCTACGACCACCAGCATCACTGCCGCCGCCGCCACCGCCGCGCCGCCATCACCATCAGAGGACCATCAGCTCAGAGGCAAAGGAGGAATAGGAAGACGAGGCTGGGAGAAAGGAAGGCGAAGCATACTGCCGGACAGCCTGCCAGCTTCCTTCAACGTGAGGAGAAGTCTTAATTCTCAGCAAAGAGCACCGACGGAAGAAGAAAGAAAGACAAAAGCCCGAGATGCTTGCGTTCCCTCTCGCTCCTTGTCTCTCGACTAAGATGCTGAGATCCTGCTCGCGTCCGGGTAAGACGTGAGCGGGGACCATCGCCTCACATTCTCGAGAACGGAACGCTGAGCATGACTGAAAAGCGTGCAGTTCTGCAAAATGATTCTTCCGAATTTCGTCTGGATAGGTCATATCGCCGATCACAAGCAATGGCGGAGAGGAGCTTTTCAAGGAAACATTCCCTCCTGTCGGTGGCGAGCCGAATCATCGTCAACAGATGGCAAGAATCTGCAGAGACAGCGGTGCGCGGGACAGGACAGTCCGTTTTGCTGGACATAATGAAGTCGTTCCCAGTCAGAGTTTTCCCTGTCTCGAAACGGCAGCTTAGAGGAGAAAAAGGACTCGGATAACCACGACCGTCTCAAGAGTCGAGCTGCGAGCAGATTGAACTCGACTCTAGAGGGGGAGAGAGAGAGAGCATTAAAGGGAACTGCTCTCGGCTCTATCGAGTGGAACCTATCCGAGCAAATCGACAGCAAGGATCGACGTCGATTTCCTTTCCTCCCGCTCCGTTGGTTCGAGCACGTCAGAAGCCCGAACAAAGGAACGTTCGGATAAATAGACGAATGAGAACATCGAGTGCGGTGTTGTCACAGGATTATCCAGATCGCTTCTCACAGCCATCAAGGCGAGATTAAAGAACGGCGAGACGCTCCGTTCAGAAGTTGACTATTCCAGACACTTTTTCCCGCCTAAATTCTCCACGGAAGCCAAGGATTTTCAAAGGAGACTTTACACCGATTCCTCCTCGAGAGGAGTATCGCGAGATATTGAAACGAAAGCGACGGCTGCACCGAGTAGGTATCTTGTTCCTCTGAGAGCGCGCACGAGCCTCGGGATGCGGCGCCCTACTTGTAGACGAATGAAGAGGCTGACGTCCGAAGGGAATGACCTCTCGTCACCGTGCCCTCCGCCAAAACTTCCCTCCTCCTCCTCCGCCTGTCCTCCACCTACTTCTTCCTCGAGGTCTAAATTTGCCAACTGCGCCCTCGGCGAGCAGATCCGACACCAATCGACTATGAAACCCGGGCTCGGCTGAATGCGATTGAAAGGTTTCCATCCTCGTCGGATTCCGAATGCAATGCGAAGGATTCCATCCGCGCAGCTTGTTCTCCGATGGAGAAAGCGACGTTCAACGGAATCATTTAGCGAACCGTGATATCTGTCGGGTCAACGGCATGGCATCGTAGGGACACTGGTCGTCTGGCCATGTACACATACCGACATCAATGAGCCCGTTTCCGTCGAGGAAGGATTCTCTGGCCGAAACCGTGACAGTCACACATGAAAGTCGGGGATCTAGAATCGAACTCTCAGATCTCAATCTTGTGATCGAGCGCAATTATTCGCGGCGGTTGACGGATTCCGTCCTCGTCGACGTCATCATCCGGGCCGGTGAGAGAAGTCGATGAGGGGGAGAGGTGTTTTGACAATATTACGAAAAGCGGCTCGATTCTCGCCAACGGAAAGCATGGCACAGGATCTTGACCATCACCGCACTCCCAGAAACGCCGTCTGAGAACGTTCACCCGGATTATCATTACTCTGAGCTATCGATGCGTCCGCTATCGGTCAGAGCGGGAACGATTATGGCGATCCTTGCGAAACTGACAATTTAAGTGCATTCTCCGAGTCCATAGCGCGGAGAGGTGACTGCCCGCTCGCGCAGCTATCCTGACAAACCTCTTACACCTGACACATTATCCAATAGGACTTGTGCCACGAATCGCAGCGCAGCAGCTTTCTCTTCGAGACGATGAACTGATGTATCGGCTTCGATCGCGTTGACGGCTCCTAGCCGCGAACGTCTCGAAGAGAAAGGGAATTCCTCGGGGCGCGAAACTGTGTCTGATTAGGATCGTGGCAGTCCGAGACGATGCCGTGGAAAATATCTTTGGGGCTCACGGGGAACTCGGAAACCTAGCGGATCCGCCCGTGCGAAATCCGGCCCCGGTCGATGGACTCTCGAACTCGATCGGATCGAAGGAGCCAGATGCTCGATAGTTCGATGCAGAAAGAGAATCGGCACGCGCGTGATCACTCCCAGAATCATCACCCTGAATACGAACCCTAGAACGACATCCAGAACTTACAGTCTGAAAGGAGCAGCGTGGGGATTGAAATGATTTTTCTTCTCTTGGATCTGCTCAAAATAATTCACACTGCATGTGCGCTTGTTCCGCTCGGCGGGAGGAACTCTGGGTTCAGTGAATGAACTCATCCTGAGAGATCCAGTCGGATTAGCGTGGACGACTGACGAGAGCAGTCTCGAGTTTCCTTGTGGCTTCGATATCAACTGGAGCAGCGAGTTGCCAGCGGTGGCGGCAGGGTGGAGAATAATGAAAACGACGCAAGCCAGGTGTCACTAGTCGAACGGCCGATTGTCATTGAACACGACGAGGGCGAATCCGCTAAGCGACGCACCGTCAACGCACTCATGTCTCGGAGAACAGGTAGAGCAGCATCGGAAGCGAAAGTTTCGAGGTTTTCTCTTATTCGAAGTGGAAGTTCAGTCGCTTCTCTTCGTAAACTCAATAGGGAGTAAACAAGCTCAAGGTTCCCCTACGTCCATCGCGCCGCCGCCGTCCTTCCCGCCACCCTCGCTCGCGGCCCGCGACTCGCCTACCATCTCCTACGGTGATGGCGGAGTCGCCGGTGACGGCAATAGCGGCGCCAGCTTATGAGCCCTCACTCTCCGTCAACTTTGTGACCCAACTGTGACAGCTGAACGCAGACCTCCGTGGCCGTTAATGACGTCTCGCGGCTGAATGAGTCTGAGGACGGCAGATTTGTTTCTGGAGACTGCCTGTTTTCGCCTTTCCTAAGCTTTCAGATCCGCAGAAGAGGAAACTCTCTCGCTGGATTTCCACGGCGGTTGAGCAACAGGTTGATTCCGCAGCCCGACTCCGCTCCAGTTTGCTCGGATTTGACCGCCTCATGCGTTCTGACACCGGATACCGACCGTCGATACGGGACCGCTGTCCCCCTTGGCGAGCTCGGCGAGGGTGGCGCTGACCTCTGTCCTACTCGTAATCGCATGGACAACGATTAAGACGAAGTTTCGGTATAAATTTCGGCTGTAAGCTCGATTCTTGCATGAGTAGTCGACGTTCTGCTGCGGCAGATAAACGATTGCATGGCGAGTGGCTGCACCCGAAGCCTGTCGAATCGCCCTGGATCAATGACACTAAACAAGCAGGCAGACAGGCTGGCAGGCAGGCGGTCTGACGGGGAGAGCGGATATCCTGGATATAGGGATCGAACAGGAAATAATCCAAGTCGCTTTCATTTGTTCATCGCCAAGTGCGATCAAGCTATCGATACTACCCGCCTCTTTGCGTAGTAAATGTGAGCGGAGGTCTT